CTCAGCTAAGGCCTGAAATTCCTTAACACGCAAAGTGTTTGATCTTTGGATTTTAAAGGATACACCCAGAGCTTGTGAGAATGATCATCAATGAAGGTCACAAAGTAAAGTACACCACCTTTTGACTTTACTTTAAAAGGACCACACAAATTAGAGTGTACTAACTCCAATAATTCAGGATTTCTTGAAGGAGGATGGCTATGAAAGGAAACCCTTTTCGGTTTGCTAGCTAAACAATGGATACACCTTTTCAGCTTTGCTTGTTTAACTCCAGAAAACAAACTTTTCTTAGCCAAACACGTAACCCCTCTCTTGCTCATATGACTCAATTTTCTGTGCCACAATTCTGATAAAGTGTCACTTTCCACCAGATTTATGGAGTCATTAAGAATAGAGCCCTGTGTCACATATAATTGAGAAGACTTGACTCCTCGATCCATTACTAATAAACTCTTGGTAAGCTTCCATTGGTCATTAAAGAGGTCATTATGGTAACCTTCATCGTCTAATCTTCCTGTAGAGATCAAATTGAAAGGAAAGTCTGGAGCATGCTTGATATTTTAAAGAACTAACGTTGAACCATTGTTAGTTTTCAGACAAACTGTTCCAACACCAAACACCTTAACTTCACTAGCACTGCCCATCTTTAACACTCTAAAATCAACAGGAGTACAAGATGAGAAAATGTCCTTTCTTGGTCTGACATGTGAGGTAGCTCTAGAATATATTATCCAGTTCGTCTCATGGGATACCAAATTGATGACGTTTTCATCATAAGCAAAAAGAAGGTCATCTCAAACAATAGCAACAACATTGTTCTCGTTATTTTCAACTTTCTTTCCTTCTCTAATGTCTTGTTTCAACTTGTGGCAAAACCTTTTGATATGTCCTTTCTTGCCATAGTAGTTGCATGTAATATTATGGTATTTGGACCTTGACTTACTTCTGCTTTTATCTCTATTCCTCGAACCTCTTGTTCTGTCTCTCCCCCGGTCTTCTGTAACCAAAATATCTTTTTGTGAGGACGAACCCTGAGATTTTCTCCTTACTTCCTCTTTCAACACACCACTCTTGGGATATTCCATGGTTACTGATAGTAGGCTATAATTATGTAGTTTAGCTACCATTTACGCTCCAAATTAGCCGCACTGTATTGATATATGAATGTTAAATGATAAGAAATTGCTCTAATTAAGAACTTTATGCTTTGTAAGAGCAATTCCAGGCTATGAGGATATTAAAGAGTGTTTTGGAGTTAATATGAAGCAATGAAGTCCAATCGGAGGTGAGTGCGCGCAAAAGAAGAAAGAAAATTGAAGGAAGAAATATCCTCCAGGTGCGCGGTCGATCCGCGGCCGCGCACTGGCTGCGCTCGTCAGGCAAAACAATGGGCAATATGCGCGGTCCATCCGCGGTTGATCCACGGCCGCGCACGTCGCTCCAAGGATTCTTATTTCAGGGATAAATTTGTAAGTTTAGAGGTGACTCTCCTTGACCTATATGAAGCCCAGCTCGCCCAAAAAGAGGGTATCTTGGTTTTTGGAAGGATTTTGAAGGAAGAACAGGCAAGAAGCAAGACGGAAGATTCGGCATAGAGTTTTTATCTTTCTTCCTCTTGTTTTTATCATTGATGATGAATTCTATTGTGATGATTGTGAAAACAATTATGCATAGCTAAACTCCTTATCTAGGGTTTTGATGGAACCTATTGGAGGATGATTTTCTTGTTATGTTAATATAGATTTGCCATAGTATTCTCTCTATTTGTTCAACTATATTATGATTGCTGTTGATTGAAGGGCCCTCAATCGACTGTGCCTATTTAGTATGTATTACTCGGGAGAGAGTGCATATTTAGGTAGTTGTTGAACAACACCACTCCTAACGTATATGAAGGATCAATACGAAGGATTTAAAGGTGGGATTAGGGATAACGAAACCTTGGGTGCGATCTAAGTGAGCTATACTTAAAGCTAGCTAGCGTAATTCGGGAGAATATGTCTAGTATATTATTGTAATTACTCGGGAGAGAGTTACGACAGTCAGAGTGCTCATGATCGATAGAGAAGACTTAGGCAAATTTATAGCAAACATAGCGGAAAGGATTCCAACAATAGGGGAAATCATAACCTTAGATCATTCCTATTCTTGTCTACAACCCGTTCGTAGTTAGTTCTTAATTATTGCATTGTCATTACATAATATTTAGTTAGTAAACATTCAATCTGTTACTCAAATATTTCTGAAGATTGAATACGTGAATTTGTGTAAGTCCAATAGCTGTGATTGATAGGTTAATTCCATGTGGGATTCGACTCCGGACTTGTTAACGGAATATATTTGCAGTGACCACTTTGTCCTTTTTATAAGGCATAGTTGGGCTTGATCAGTTACCTTACCTTTGGGAGCTGAATTTTTCAAAGAAACACGAAGAGTTTTCCCAAGAGTCTGGGAGAGTATTAAGAAGCCAAAGTCCTTGTATCTCATCATCAAAATTAACTCCCATTCCAGACAGCTGATCAAGGACACCCTAAAAATCATTTATATGATCAAGGATATAACTGCCCTCCTTGTATTTAAAGATCATCAATTGCTTTAGTAGGAACAACTTATTGTTCCCAGTTTTTGAAGCATAAAGAGTCTCATGCTTTTTCCACAACGATATCGCATGTGTCTCATTCACAATATGATTGCGAACATTATCTTCAACCCATTGTCGTATATATCCACATACTTGCTGGTTTTCGATATCCCAATCTTCATCAGATATACTCTCGGGTTTATGAGCTGCAAAAACGGGTAGAAGCATCTTCTTCACGAACAACAAGTCTTTCATCTTGCTTGTCCAAGCATTATAATAGCTCCCATTTAAACATATCATCTTGCTCATATTCGCCTCAATTCCGTAAAAATCTGGATAAATAACGAAGGCTTTGATACAATTGTTATGTCGAGGAAGAGGCAAACCCAAAAATAAAGAAAATAAAGAACACAAAATACAAGATCCAATCGTGTATTGAGTCTTCTATTTGTCAATCAAACTCGAGCTATTCATCTTTACACTAAGACATTTTTCATTTTTAAACACAAAAGAACATGTATTCCATGTGATATCTAGTTTTAGGTTCTAAAATAATTTAGTGAAGAAATGATTAGGGGGAATCATGAGTTTACGAGAATAGACAATGAATTTTTAAGGGGTCTGTTTGACATAATGGATAAGCAAATAATTTTGGGATAAATTGTCATGCTCATTTTTAGAGTCACTTTACGCGCAACTTCTGAAAGCTGAAATATGTCAAATAATTTGAAATGCATGAAGAAGGATATAACAAAGTATTATGAACTACTCAGTACTCCCTCTGTCTCAAAAAGGATAGTGGGGTTCGTTGTATAAGAGTTACCGCATGTAGTATTATTATTAGAGTTTAAGTTATATACATAAGCATCCGTCATTATTACGTATTTTGTTAATTAATTTGTCTTATTTTTAGATTACAAATTACACATTTTAAGAAGTTTTATACATAAATATTCTTTGAGCGACCTGATAATGTAAGAAACTATTTATGATATACATAACTACAACTCTTATTATATTCCAAATTATTGAGTTCCTTATCATTAAATCTAATGTCTTTTGTCGTTGGCAGAATAGCCTAAATGGCACCTATACTTGTCCCACTTTATCATGCCGGTCCCCAAACTTAACAATTTGCCAATTGAACACTTACACTCCTTCAAACCGTATATAATAAACGCTTATGACACGACGCTGTCATTGCGTGTAACACAATCTCATACATGTAGGATGCCACGTCAAGAAATTAAACCAAGTAGGCTCCACGTCATTTATTATGGCCACATAGGAAAATAAAATTAGTAATGATTATTAATCCCCCAAACCCAAATTTTCCCCTTATTTTACACTAACTCACTTAGGTTTAGTCCCTGATGAAGGCGGCGACTTGGGTCGGCGGCGGGAGTTTGTCTGCTCAGCACCTTGCCTTTCTTGAACATTCTTCTACGCCTCTGCTTACAACACCACCATCTTCTGCAACTTCTCATTTTCTTCAAATTATTCTTCTCTTTTTCGTTTACTCTCTTCATTTTTGCTTCTATAGGAGTTGTGGGCTGGTATAAAAATTCATCTTAATTTCTTCTCTTCCCCCCTGCTCACTCTTGCTGACTTGTTTTGGCTTACTGGGTCACTCAAATTATAACAATTGATTCAGCTTCATCAAGTTTCTTGAAGTTTTAATCACTTTGTTTGAGGAGATTTTTTTTTCAATCCTTGACTCTGCGACAATGGTTCAGATAAAAGAATTGTTCCTTTTTCAAAAGCCATAACCTTATATCCCTCTTAGCTATGGTTCCAGCTCCCCAAAGTGATCTGCATCTGAATGAGAATGACTCACAGGAGATAATATTATATGAAGTCCTCAATGAAGCTAATGCTCTTAACATACCATATTTACCCCAAAGAAACCAACTTCTTCCCAAAAATGTCTGTCGTCCATCACAGACCATAGGAAAGAAGTACAGAGGCGTAAAACGGAGACCATGGGGAAAATAGCTTTGGATATTAAATCAAAATAAGGAGAAAGAGAAAGTTGGGTATGGGGAAGAACAGATTACTTATTTGGATCCACCCTTTGCTTCAGTTATTTGGATCCACCTGTTTGCTTTTTTCTTTTTTTTCTTATTGTATATTTTTTTATTTTAATGATTTTTTCTTTTATTTTAATTATTTCTGGTTCAAAATGCTCATATTCACGCTCATTATCCGCGTGAATTACACTCACTTTGTCCAGCTCAACCATTATTTTGCCACATGCTTGGTCAACGGTCAGAGGGGTTTGAATAATAGGCTTTGATCAAGTTAAAGTGTCTGGATGAAAATAAGTGAAGTTTGGGGACCGGTATGACAAAGTGGGACAAGTATAGGTGCCATTTAGGCTATTCTGCGTTTGTCCTTTGTTCTAAACTTTAGCTGAACATTTATCAAACTCATTTCAGGACGGAAACTTCCTATTTTCTTCTCTCTCACTAAATCTCCTCCACTCTTCCCCACCCCCACCCACACTCATCATATGACCATATAAATCTCTCCATTTTTGTTACAAGTTTAAACACTATTATTCTTCCAAATGGCGTCCATGAAAATGCTTATGTTTATTCTTCAACTCAACTATTTTACTTTCTTCTTCTTGTTACTTCAGGCCTCGGCTGAGCTTCACCGGTTGGAACATCCGGCGAAAACCGACGGCTCCCTTAGTATTTTGGTCGTCGGAGATTGGGGACGGAAAGGAACCTATAACCAAACTGAAGTTGCTCAGCAGGTAATTAACATTAGACTTAATCTTTACAACAAAGGGTTAGTTAATTTGAATTTAATTGCCTTCCATAATTTTCTTGGAATGCAACTTTGAAATTTATAAAAAGGAAAGAGTGTATGTTTGTAAAATAAGTTATACTTCCTCCGTTTTAATTCATGTGAACTCATTTAACTGATTATAAAATTTAAAATTAAGGTCATACTGAGTAGCAAGAAGAAAAGAATGTTTTACCCCCTTTTTCTTAATTTATATGACATACTTTGTTTTAGTACGGAGCTTAAAAAAAAAAAAATAATTCTGAAACTATAGTTTAAATGTGTCATAACAATTATGTGATTATAAGATTTTTAAAATATGCCACATAATATTTGCGTGGCTATAAAAAAATAATTAAATGAGAGAGAAAAATTTGTCAGACAATTGCATATTACGGGAGAAAGACACTCTAAATGGAGGGCAATACTAGATAGGATAAATAGTTATCCATGTTAGCATATAGTCTGAGTTCGAGCTGTGGAACTTAAGTGTTACGAAGCATAGGTTATTTTTGTGAGACCCGACCTAGAGTCCAATGAGCGGGAGGTTGTATATATTTACACTTGGTTAAATAAAATTTTCAGTTTAACCAAAAAACAACTTTTATTAAATATAATAAAAATTTAAATTAAATTATTTTCAAATACCAAATATATTCTTCTTCTTGAACAACAACAACATCCCAGTAAAATTTTATTAGTGGGGTTTGGAGAGAGTAATGTGTACGCAGACCTTATCCTACCCCGAAAGAGTAAAAAGACTATTTCCGAAAGACCCTCGGCTCAAGAACACTTTTTTCTTCTTTGAAATGGCTTAATAAAAAAAGTTTTTTTTTTGTTGCTAATAAGTGAAACCATGGTCAGCCATTTGAAAGAATACAAGTGGTGGAAGTCAAAAGTTATAAGTTTCTTTTAATGCCTTTTTCCCACTTCTCAATTCTCATTGCCTTTGGTCGTAAAGAATGATACCTTGCAGATTCCAAATATGATCCTATAACCTGTGATGGATTTAGATCACAATTTATGGTTCACAGAAACTCAATAACTTTATCCAAATCTTATATTCCCTCCGATTTACTTTAATTAATTTTTATGTATACTAAGGAATCTATTTTTTAGCTCTGTTTTAAAAGGCAGAATTGGGACTCGCCCGGGGCTCGCCCCAGGGCGGAGCACTCGTAAAACGCCCCTGGGCTTATGTGTGAGACTTAGTTCCGTGATACTTACGCCTCGGTCACTGGAAATTTGGGAAAATGCTAGAGAATTTTAAATTGTGAATTATGTTTATACATAAATTCTCTTTCAAATAAAAATCATATTAAATAAAAGGAGTATTTAAGTAAAATATCAAATTATAGTATTGAAATTCTTTCAAGATTTATTACTCCTTAATAGATACATATAAGATTTCATATCGAATTCATTACTTTTGATGTTTGAGTTGTAACGACGTTGCAACTAATTTACATATTATGATATATGTCATACTTCTCATATTATTCATAGCCGAATTATAATTTTTTAAATAGATTATTTGTTATAATTTTGTGATTTTGATGTAATTTTTATAATTATTTTTTATTTTGTACTATCTTAAACTTCTTGAAATTTGTAAAATTTAAAGATCCGTGGGACTCACGCCCAATGTCTCAGGGCTTACGTCTCGCCTCGTCAGAGGTAAAACGTCTCGCCTCTCGCCCCCGCCTTTTAAAATATTGTTTTTTAGCATTAGTAACAATGACATTGACCAGATTAATCTTAATTTGTTCATTAAAAATACAATAAATACTCCTATGCTCTATACTCCAGGGATAACTTTGGGAAAAAAAGTTAATTCCTTCTTGATATCTGGAAAAAATCAAAAATTGTAGACCACACTAAAAGACCAAAAAATTAATTAAAGTGGACAGAAGGAAATATATATTAAAAAATATTCATAAATATAGACGATAAATTTAATTATTATTTTATATATTAATTTAAGCTTATTATAGGAATGCTATAAGCTTTAATTCTTCTAATCCTATTCCTCAATGACGTGTATCCTATTCCTCGATGACAAATAACTAATGACACCGTCACCATAATTAATTAAGCATGTGGGTCCTCAAAATTGTCGATTATCTGACATTATCTCACTAATGAAAGAGTCATAATCATACTTCGACACTAATCAACTCAGCTTCTTTTTCTTGTTGCTTATCGTTCAACTTCATTTTGTTTCTCTTTGTATTATTTCTTCAATAAAGACATTTGATTAATGCCTCCTAACCTCTATGGTTTTTATCACGTTATACATGAAATTGACAGAACATTAAGCTATATGAGTAATATCTTTACTTCTTGAGGTCCCATTTTCTTTTTCTGTTTTATTTAATCCATTCATATATTGACACCCAGCTAATAATTATTGTGTATTTCTGCTTTATTTTTCTTTTTGTCGGTTCACTTAAATATGACAACGTGGCTTCATATCTTTCATTGATGCTGTCTTACTATTTTAAAAGGCATAATTTGTCACTAATCACTACAAATATTAACCTTCCACTTTTAAAGTATGATTTAATTAAAAATTAACTTTGAAACCCCCAATTAGGGGTGTTCATGGTTCGGTTTGGATCGGTTTTTTCCTAAAAAGAAACCAAATTAAGTAAGTCGGTTTTTCAAATATTAGAACCAAACCAAACCAATTCGATTTTTTCTCGATTCGGTTTATGTCGGGTTTCTTGGGTTTTTCGGTTTTTTCGGTTATTTGTCGGTTTTTTCTTAAATATAGAACATACACTACCAAACACATATTTCGGCGACCACATTTTCAATGTAACACTATCAAATCAATTGCCCTTTGAGAAATCTATTATTTACCAAGATATATTGATGATAATTGAATCAAATAGTGATGAATAATTTAAGGACTCAACTAAAAATATATTATTTTTAACACGAAATGGATTCTTACATTTAACAAAAGAAAACTACCAATCAAACTAGAATGTAAAGGTAAAGAACTATACTAAAAGTGCAAACTATTAATATTTACCATAAAATTTTTGAAACTTTGTATAAAAATATACATATATATATATATAGGTGTAATAATAAATTTGAAATAACTACTCCTATAGTCGGTTTGGTTCGATTTTTTTCGGTTTTTTCCTGATTAAAACCAAAACCAAACCAAATTTGATCGGTTTTTAAAATTCAAAATCAAAACCAAACCAAATCAATAAGATCATGATATGCAGATATTTGCAGAGGAAGTAAAATATACGCCTACCAATACTTTCAAAGATGAATAGATAAATGGTAAAATATAATTTTTCTCCATTCTATATTTCCTAAAGTATTGTTTCTTTATCTCGAATTTTATGTAGATGGGAATAATTGGAGAGAGATTAAACATTGATTTTGTTGTATCAACTGGCGACAATTTCTATGATAATGGATTGACTGGTTTAGATGATTCAGCTTTTGAGGAGTCATTTACCAATGTTTACACTGCTCCGAGCTTACAGAAAAAGTGGTACAATGGTGAGTTTCTTTCTTTTTCCCCTTTTAACCAGTATAAAATATATACGTACAAATATATTAGAGTAATAAAAAGTAGGGACGTATTCAAGTTTTAAATTTGATGAGTTCAACGTTTCAGATTCTAATATAATATTTAATTATTTCTTGCAACTTTAAGTAAATTCACACACACATAATATATATAAGGGTCCGTTTGGCCATAAGAAATTTTTTACTTTTTTGGAAATTCTTTTACTTTTTTCGGAATCAGTGTTTGTCCATGAAAAATTTCAAATTTCATTTAAAGAGGGTGTTTGGCTAAGCTTATAAGCTGGTCAAACTGGCTTATAAGCACTTTTTGGCTTATCTACGCGTTTGGTAAAATTAAAAGTGCTTATAAGTTAAGTGCTTATAAGCCAAAAATAAGCCAAAAGTCATAAATTGGTCTCCCCCAACTCATCAAATTTCAGCTTATAAGCAGTTTAAGTTTGACCAAAATATTTACTATTCGATCCCTAAAATACTTCTTTTTAAAACAAAACACTTGGTATACCCATTTCTTTAGCTGCATATTATTAATTTCAGCACTTTTATCCAAACACGTAACTGCTTATTTTTTAAATCAACTTCAGCACTTAAAAGTGCTTTTTAGCACCTAATACTTATCAGTTACTCTAAATCAGCAAAGCCAAACGGGCTCAAAGTTGAATTTCAGAATTTTTTGGAAAGTTGAAAAACTCCAAAAAGGTTTTTTTCAAAATTTTCACTTTAAATCACTCACAAAAATTAAAAAATAACTCCAAATTGTATTCATGTCCAAACACTATTTTAATTTTCAAATATTATTTTCAGTTTAAATCTTTTTCACTTTTTTTCGAAATTTTACAATTCTTATATCCAAATGCCCACTAACAATAGCATGTGGATATATGTACTTCCCACGTTTGATTTTATGCATGCATTTGTGGCTATCATTTTTCAAAAATTAATTGGGCATCAGCTAAGTACTATTTTGGACCACTGTATAATTCCAACAACTAATGGTACGATTATTTAATGCGTTGTTAAAATGGTAAGGTAATTTATCAGGAAAATATGAGGCACAATACTGGTGAAATTCATGGATAAATACTTATTCGCATACAATATTTATATAAAATCAATTTTAATTTTTATTAACTAGTGATAATGATGCATGTGAAGACATATGTTTATGTTCCAGAAAAAAATATTTTTTAAAAACTATTTGGGCCATTTTGAAAATTTTATTTGCTTATATTTTTATTGCAGTTTTAGGGAACCATGACTACAGAGGTGATGCTTTAGCACAATTAAGTCCCATCCTTAAGCAAAAGGATAGCAGGTGGATATGTTTAAGGTCTTATATTGTTAATACAGGTAACAACTTGTTTAAGTTAAGCTTAATTAGGAAATTTTAAATTTCACTAATATTTAAACATTTTATCTCCTTCCCTGGCTTGAGCAGATGTGGCAGAATTTTTCTTTATAGATACAACTCCTTTCCAAGATATGTATTTCACAAATCCTAAAGATCATACTTATGACTGGAGAGACATTTTGCCTCGACAAGATTATCTTGACAATATTTTGAAGGTAAAGTTAAATTATGTATTAGCCGTTTTTGTAAACTGAATTTGTTTCAAGATGTTTGACGGCTTAGAAAACACAAACCTAAGGGCTCGTTAGGCAAAAAAAAAAATCACTTTTTTCTGATTTTTTTTTTTCGAATTCAGTAGCCATGAAATCTTCAATTTTAACTTGAAAATCTGAATGTTTCGAAAATTTAAAAAACTCCAAAAAATTATTTTTCAAAATTTTTTCTTTAGATCACTCACAAAAAATTCAAAAATAGCCCAAAATTATATTCATATCCAAACACAACTCTAATTTTTAAATACCATTTCAACTTAATTTTTTTTTTTTTTTTTTACGTTTTTCTAAATTTTACCATTCTTATGTCCAAACGCCCACTAAGTATTATTAACTGCGTTTTAAATTTTGACCAAATTAGGACTTGGACTTTGCATTAAGGGAATCAAGTGCAAAATGGAAGATTGTTGTTGGTCACCATACAATCCAAAGTGCTGGTCACCACGGTAACACCAAGGAGCTTGAAATCCAGTTACTCCCTGTCTTGCAGGTAAAGAATCGGGCAAAATACAAAATTGATCGTTCAGTCGAAATTATTTTTATTTTCTAGCCAAAGAGTATACAAAAAATGTATATTTTTGGTATATAATACCCATATATACAAAAAGATATACATTTTGTCGGCTATATTTCTTGGAAGTGGCTAAATATAAATTTCTCTAAAGAATTTTGATATTTTTCATCAAGTACAAATTCTTGTAGTTTTTATATCAAATTAAATTTCCGGAGATCTTTATTTTTGAAAATAAAATACAAGTGATATTTGCAGGCAAACAATGTTGACTTTTTAATAAATTGAAACAATAATATTGTTTCCTAAGTACTTATTTCTTCTCTTTTTCTTTTTCCTTCATTTTTCAGGCAAATGATGTTGACTTCTACATAAATGGACATGATCACTGCTTAGAGCATATAAGCAGTTCAGACAGGTAAATATTAAACACAATTAAAACAAAAAATTGGACTTTAATTTAATTCAAAAAAATAAAAAAAGGGGGTCAAAATTTTTAAAACAATTTTTTTTTTTTTTTTGCAGTCCACTTCAATTTTTGACAAGTGGTGGGGGGTCAAAAGCATGGAGGGGTGACATCAATTGGTGGAACCCAAAGGAAATGAAGTTCTATTATGATGGACAAGGCTTTATGGCAATGCAAATTACTCAAACAGAAGTTGGAATCCAATTCTTTGACATTTTTGGCAACCTTTTGCATAAATGGAGTGCCTTAAAACCCCTATTTTCCATTATGTAAATAGCTCCAAAAAGAAGAAAAAAATTGATGGATTTAATTTGCTTCTTCTTAGCAGCTAAATCTCCATACTATTGATGTAATTGAAAACTAGTGCAGCTTCTTGTCTATAATTCATTTCCCTCTAGTTGTCCCATTTCATAGGCGGATGTACTGCTGCTACTACCTTATATTGCCATATTCATGGTAAAATGACCAAATTTGCTCTTCTACTTTGTGGAAATGATTAATTTAATACAATATACTTTTCGCAGAAATACTCCCGTCGTTATTCAAGCAGTTCATCAAATATACGTCTCCTCTATTAGGGCTATATCTAAGATGGACGTCCAATCTCACACAAAATTAATATTTTTGTGAGGTGGACATCATCTGGCACGCCACCTCACCATGATCCCGACCCATTCTACCTCCCCCCCACCCCACCCCACCCCACCCCCCTCTCTTGCAATTCTTCTTCCACCACCATCACCTCCTCACCAACCACTATCAGCATATAAATTAAATTTATCAATGAATTTACTCCATAGAGTTTCGTGTATGGATCCTAAAGCTTAAACCATGGCATGGCGCAGTAAGTTCACCTAGTCTTTCGCCCAGCCTTCGCCTTCTTCAGTGGCCAAGTTGAAGCGTTCAACGTCGGTCTACCACCTTTCGGTTTTTTGTTTTTTAGAAAAACCTCTTACCAAATGGTTGTTCGCTACAGTCTTTAAGTCTCGCCTAGCCTCTCCCACCGTTCTCCAGAAAACTAGCGGCTCGCAACTGTTCAGTCGTTCTCTAGGAAATAGGAGATGTGCCACTGACTGGGTTCACAACACAACCATCGTTTTATCTGTGTTCAAACCAAAAGCTAACATAGATGTTATTGTTAGAATTTTCGAATTTTGTTCACATCTTAGATGTAGGGCTGTGCATAATTTGGTAAATACCGAATTACCGTACCAAAACCGAAAAATTTTGGTATTTGGTATTCGATATTTGGTACTCGGTATGGTATTTGGTTTAGGTTTTAAAAAATATTGGTATTTGGTACTTTAAAAATACCGAAATACCGATACCGTACCGAAATATATATTATATTACACAATACATATATTACTAATTATAACATAAATATGAAAATCTAAGATTTTACTTTCCTTCATTCTCTAAGTTCATGAGTTAACTCTAAGCAAGTAACACGACATTTCTAATGATCAAATTTATTCTTTTATGTCAGTTTTTCTCTCTGGGTTGATATTTGCTAGTTTTGGACAAAACTTTTGTCAACAAATATTTTTAGTTTTGTACTTTTGAGTACTTTAGTTTAAAATATTCAGTCTATGACTCTATGCACTAGTTAGTATTCAAACCGAATAAACCGAAATTACCAAACCGAATAAACCGAAACCGAATGGAGAAAAACCGAACTGTACCGAATTTAATTAGGTACGGTATTGGTATTACATTTTAAGAAATCGAATACCGAAAATACCGAACCGAAATGTCTAAATACCGTACCGATCGACGATCACCCCTACTTACATGTATAAATTAACTCATCTTTGTAAAGGAGCCGAATGAATCTAATATTTTATGTTCAGTTTGAATTAGAGACGTTAAAAAATAATAATACATGCAAGTAGACAAGACAAGAAACATATTTGTATTGGGAAAAATTGAGTTTATATATATTGAAGTGATTGAAAGATGACATGTCATGACACGTAGACTGGTCAAAGAATGATGATCAGCAAAGAGGCACGAGTTGCAACAGATACGAGCAGAGACACGAGCAGAGACGCGAGCAGAGACACGAGCAGAGATTCAAAAGACTCGGCGCTCGTACCTATTTAAGTTCAACAGTTAAAGAGAATGAACTTGATAGCAAAAGAGAGTACGGATACAGTATTTAATAGACATTAATTACTGGAAACGTTATAGAATCTGTATTGAATTACAATGATTATCATTTATAACGTAGCATTAGATGCCTTTAATTGTCTATAATGGCCTTATTATGACAAAGGCAAAACGTATATCTTAAAAATAGCTATAAAAAGGAGAAGACTGATCATTTGTAAGGACAGAAAAAGACTATTGAATATACTGATTTACTTCGCTTTCTATTCATCCTTTATTTACATCCATTATTCTTATTTCTATTTGATTATCAGTAACCCGAGTTCTTCTAAAATAAGCTTTGACTGAAATGTCACTTTTTGATTAAACAATATTGTACACAATAATCATTCCTATCTCTATCAGATTACATAGAAAACAATCAATAACACTAAAATACACTTTAATATCGATATTCATCGTGCTCTTATGTAACATTTACCCCTAACTATTGACTATCTAAATAAGAGTCCTTTGACACTTTGAATTTGTGTAAGACATTTCCAAAAACATCGTAATATACAAACTCAGCTTCTAATTTGTTCAATTCCACTGAAACAAATCCTTGTCCATCATAATAAAATTTCAATTCTGCCGGATTCCACCATTTAATATCGCCCCTCCATGCTTTGGATCCGCCTCCGCTTGTTAAAAATTCTAAGTTGCTAAACAAATAATTAACCCATAATTAATTATGATTACGTAATAATAGTGTATGTAAAGATACAACATGTATACTTGACGTCTGGTTACCTGTCTATGCTTCCAATGCGTTCCAAGCAGTGATCATGTCCATTAATGTAAAAATCAACATTATGTTCCTAAATGAAATAATTGGATAAAGTTACCAAAAATTATAAATCCAAATTTTTTTTTGAAGATCAGCTCATATTTAACTCTCAAAACTAATATATGTGTAGTAATTAATAAATTACCTGAAGTACTGGAGTTAATTGTTCAGCAAGCTCTGTAATAATACCATGATGTCCAGCACTTTTAATCGTATGGTGACCAATCACCATCTTCCATTTTGCAGTAGACCTACTTAATGCCAAATCCAAATCCTATTTTGAAAACACCAAATGAGAAATAAGAAAAAAGGGTTTAGAGAAATTAAAGAAAAAGGGTTCTCAATATATTAATTCTATAAAGTATTATATATATAACCATTTTACATGGCACCAAAAGTCCTCGGATTATATGTTTTGATCTATGTTTTCCTCTTAATTTTTTGTTGTTTTAAAATTGTGAAGATATCACGACTCTTATTAACTCATAGGTCAAAAGTTGAAATGGACCAATATGTAATGATCTAATTAGAGCCGTAAATATGGGCCTGGCCCGTTAGGCCGACTCAGCCTAGCCCAGCCGTGATTTAATAGGGTTGGGCTAAGATTTTTGAAGCCCATTTATAACGAGGTTTTTAAGCCCTGCCCAAGTGAGCCCGTGGCCCATGAGGCTTGACCGATGCTGGATTGTGCCGGCCCGTGGGCTTAATAAACGTATTTAATTAAAAATATAGGGAACTAAAAATAACAAGAAGACTAGTCCAATCTCAAACTTGTAATATTTTTTGTTCTTAAATTTCAGTTATTTCTTAATGTTTAACTAATTAACTTTGCACATAACTATAGATTTAGATGAAAATAAAGATATTAAGACATTTTTGTTTTACAAAAGGATTCAAATGTGCTTGAAAAAGATGATTTGTTGGTGTTGGATATTCCATGAGCACCTTGAAGATATTTTTAAGTGTAGTTTATTTTGAGAAGTGACTTTTAATGAATGAAATATTGTCCTCATCTTTTGTGTTTTATAACAATCTATTAGAACAATATCAAAAGTAATTAAGTTTTGCAAAAGCTTTATATATATATATATATATATATATATATATATATATATATATATATATATATATATATATAAAACTTTAAAAATGGTGGGTCACCCCTATATATATATATAACTTTAAAAATGGTGGGTCACCCCGTGGGGCCCGTGGCCCATGTAGGACTGGGTTGGTCTGACCATTTTAAAGCCCACCAATATAGTGGGCCAGCCCAACCCAGCCGGTCAAACGTCAAAGCCGGCATAGGCTGGGCGAGGCTGGGCCGGGCCAGCCCATATTGACAGTCTAGATCTAATAATGTGAGATACAATAATAATTATTATTATAATTTAAGTTATATACACTAATAATTTTTTATACGATCAATGAATTATAACTTACGATAGCAAGTTGGTTTTTATTTTTATCAAATATTAACTTGTATTTATCAAAAAAATTACTTATAATTATCTAAAATTGTCGGTGCAACAAACTTAAACTCAACATTATTACCTTTAAGAGATCGTTGAAGTATTTGTCCCTTGGCAAGACACCTTTCCAGTCATAAGTGTGATCTTTTGGGTGTGTAAAATAGTCGTCAACAAAGGGGGTAGTGTCTATGAAGAAAAATTCCACAATTTCTGCCTCACCAAAAAATAAGGACAAGAATATCAATATTTGCTTTTAAGAATATGCACCTCTCTTTAGTGTTAATCTTTTTCTTATCTTATTTGAAAAAAGAGAATGAAAAACAATGGATTTTGCACCTTTATAATGTTAAAAACCCCTAAATCTCAGAGTACGAGAGTTAAAATATTTAATTTTCGAGAGACGACGATTCTTTTTTGAAAATAAAAATTGTAGTCAAATATTCTTATTTTTACCTGCATCAAGAACATAAGATCTCAAACAAAACCATCTTTCGTCCTTTTCTCTAAGAACTGGACTTAATTGCGCCTCTACATCACCCCTGTAGTCATGGTTTCCCAACACTGCCACAACAAAAAAAAAAAAAAATAGGAACTTAATTATACAAAACGATTTTTTGGATATTCAGTTTCATGCAATATATTACACGTTAATTTAGTTTTATGTTCTTTATGATTAATCACATGGAATTACGCGTTTACATAATCTTGTTTATACGTCCCCGTAACTTTTCAAAGGCTTGTAATCATAATAAACTACAATCAGGGCTCAGGGGTAGATCTAGAGTGTCATTTATGGGTAGTTTTTGTTCAAATCATATATATGTATTAATGAATTCACTACAAATTTATAAGCGATATTTATTTCTGAACTAATTATTATTTTATATTAATTTAAGATTGTTGCAGCCGCTTATAAGAACCAATAAACTACTAACTCATGAATCCGCCTCTAAGTAGTAAGTACAATAATGATGATGAAAAATTTGCATAAAAGATTTACCATTGTACCACGTCTTTTTCAAGCTAGGAGCTGTATAAATATTGACGAATGAATCATAAAATGCAGGATCATCTATATCTTTGAGCCCATCGTCGTAGAAATTGTCACCAGTTGATATTACAAAATCAATATTTAGCTTCTCTCCTATCTTTCCCATCTACACATTTAATAAACCAAAAACAAACAACAACAAAAAAACTTAAACGATTATTATTACATAATAATGTGTCACAAATCAAAAACACAAAAGTTTAATATTCAAGTTCTACCAATATTCAAATTATAGCCACACCAAGTTCTCGATAAGCATGTTTGTTTATGTAATGTTTTGCTTTTAAGGAAAAGTACTTTTACAATAATAGGTGGATCCGCGATTTAAAGTTTATATGTTCCTACAATAACCTCACGTTAATACATATATAGTATTTGAGCAAAAGTTACTTGCATATACAGAGGCGGATCAAGGATTTAATGTTTATGGGTTCCTGCAACGACCTTGAGTAAATTTTTAGTAGTAACTGGGTTCATATTCAAACATTTATAGATACTTAGTGAATATTTGAAACACATTTACACTGTTTGGACAAAAGTTACTGAGTTCACGTGAACACGTACTTGTGCACCTGAACTTGTATGTGCCATTGTAGATCCGCCCCAGTTTACAACTAACTTTAACTGGATAGGTCAATCAAATTCTAGCTATTTTTAGTACTATTATTCTGCTTAATTTCAATCCAAACATATGTATGGCATTCTTCTCCTTTGCTTTTAATTACGTACCCCAATAAAACAGTACAAATATGGATATAACGTTAAAAACTTAAAAGGGTGTTTAAAACGTAAGAGAAATCGAGTTTAAAATGGGATACAGAGGAGTAAAAAGAATTTTTGTGTTGCTTAAAGTAATGAATTTTTTGAAAGAATGACTTTTGGAAGGAATATGCCTTTTCCCTTTAACTCCATCATCAAATAAGATCAATCTGGTATCTCCACAGAATTATTTCTTTTTTATTTGCGTGAAGAAAAAAAACTTGTCTCTTACACTCTAATAACATATATATATATATATATATATATATATATATATATATGGATTGTGGTTGAGTGATCTTCATTTTTGTTAGGCAGAGTTTTATCCCTCAATATATGACCTCGGGTGCGATTTTATATTTAATCGAACTCCAATAAAAGGATCGGACACTAGGTGAGAAATAATGGGGAAAAAAGAGGTAATAATATATATGCAAAAATTCATATTGCTTTGAATCCCCCACAACTCTTCCTTTCTCCCACCCTACCCCTAATTAAATAATCAGAAGAGAAGTAGGTGTTCAAAGGTCAGTAAGAAGTTTATTTAATTAACTACGGCATTATTATTATTAAGATGCAAAAATTTAATTTTTAAATTGATGCCTCACATGCATATTTAAATGTCAAAAAAAAAAAGATATAATGAAACGTAGATTCAAAATTATATTAACAGCCTATTATATTGCATTGGTAGCAATAGATTTATTGCCTCTCCCTCCTATACCTATTGAAATGTCTTATCATTTAATGCCAAACTTAATAACAAAAATACAAAATTTTCTTTCTCCCTATATCTTACAATAATATCACTGTCAGGGTTAATCAAGTATTTATCAAACACCAACTTTCAACAGACTTATATAAAACGCGAAAACAATAGAAAAGAACTCAAGAAGTGGTTTTTTTTTTTTTTACGTTCTCACAATAACTTTTTATTAATCACCAATTTTCAACATTTAAAGAATTCTATAAAACCAGAAACTTTATAAATTTTTAAAAGAAAAAACACCAAGGGACGTAACTGGTATAAGTATTATGATCAGAGGAATTAAAACTTGAAGAAGACAATCATGTTTTTTTTAACTAACCATATATTAAAGAAGAAGAACAACAACAACAACTCATATATATGAAAAGAAAATAATGAGATTTCAGGTTCAAATCCTAGCGGAGAAAGAAGAGAAGAACCTGAAAGGCGACGTCGGATTGATTATAGAGCCCTTTCCTCCCCCAATCTCCAACCACCAAAAAACTAAGTGAGCCATCAGCTTTTACAGATTGCTTCAAATATGGAAATTCAGCAGCACAAAGAAGAACATACACTCCAAAACTAGCCAAGAAAATTAGATACTGAAAATGCATAGTTTTCTTGAGAAAAAAAAAAGCTCTCATTTGATATGAAAAATGAAAGACTTTAATTTGGAGGGAATATTTATCACACAATATTGGCCTCTTTATTTGGTTTGCTTTCGTAAGGGGAAATGGTTTTATGAATGAAGAGTATATTAATGGAATATCCAAAAAAATTCTTTGTGTACAACATGCTATTTGGAAAGGAATATGAGTAAGAAATTGCAATGATGTGACAGCCTTATATCTATGTTTAAAGCCAATGTATCGTGCCTTTTATTTTATTCAAATCCTTGCTTATACGTATATCTCACATGATATACATTTTTTAACAAATTGGTACTCGAAATTCATTGACCAACTAATCTTTAGGGCCGTGTAAAATCCATTTAAGGAGAATCTTATTATTAATTCTCCATTTTCCAGATTCGATCGGAACTTTTTGTTAAAGGTGAAGGGATCTCATTCATCCTATCATAATTCTTAGTGGCAAAATACTGGGAATTTACTTAAGAGTTAGTGGTCAATATATTAAGCCAAAATTAGAAAAGCTTAAAAGTATATTGTTTCCAAAAGGAAGCACACTTTTGAACAACTCTCAACAATAATTAAATGTTTCACACGTACTTTCATGTGAACAATTAGTTGGAAGTTTCGTGTGGCCAAGTTGATAGGAGTATTTTTATTTTCTAAGTTAGGCCGTTATTCAATTAATTTATATTTCAATTTCAAGTACAATATAATAGATATTTGAACCCTGACACATTTACTCGTTTTTTAATCCTCATTTTACATGACTGGGGGTTGGAGTTGGTGAATAAATAATAAAAGTCTCGGCGTGCCATTAGAAAAACAACTAATGGAGTGCTTCATTAATAAATAATATAATTTTTGGAAGAGGAAAAAGGAAAAACAATTCTCCTAATACTTGACTTCATTGAAAAGGAGTGGGAGATCCTAGAAAATGAAGAAAAAGAACTTGGGCACGTCGTAATAAATGCCTTTAAGATTCTTCGAAACTAATTTCATTCGATCCCAGTGGTTCGCAAAAAATTCCGAGCTAGCTACATCACGTTTATGCTTACTATTTTTATCAATTTGGGATCCATGACTGTCTCATTCAAATTTTAGAAGGTAACTCGGTATTCTCAACAAGGAGAAATTGTTCGTGGTGTTGACATTCGGCCTAAGGGGCAAAATGTCTCAAGCTCGAAAGGGTGTAAAGTGTCACTTTCCAGACTTGTTGGATTTAAATAATTTAACAAAAGGTGTACACATATTTGGCTCCACTCTAACAAATGGTCGATAAAAGTAAATGATGTGTAGTGAAAGATGTTGGATACGTAAGAAAGCAAGCCTTTAGACTCTAGTGTTGCAGACAATATCGGTCCCGTGATGTTACAGATCATTGCAGAAGAATTCTGCAGGCAACCTCAGGCGATAGTGGGGCAAACCTCAGCGTTCAACTGAATTTAGATGAATCTCACATCTTTGAGATAATAGTAGAGCAAAACTCCGCAAGGAAGCTTAGTCCGTGAATGGGGTATACATATGTAACACCCAAGACAAATCCCACATCGATAGAACACAAGAGATATGACGGGTATATAAGGAAGCAAGCTTCTAAACGCTGTAACATGCAGGCGGGCCTAAGCACAAAGCATATGATAACAGTAATGGGCTAAACTACTACCATAAACAGGAGACTCTATAACCAGAGAATAATAGCCCGTTTGGCCAAGCTGCAAAAATCAGCTTATTTTGAGAAGTGCTTTTTTTCAAAAGTACTTTTGGTGAGAAACAGTTTGTGTTTGGCTAATTAGTTTGAAAAGCACTTCTGAGCAGCAATTAGTGCTTGGCCAAGCTTTAAAAAACTGCTTCTAAGTATATTTTTCTCAAAAGTGCTTCTCAAAAAAGTGCTTTTGGAGAGAAGCTATTTTTTTCCGCTTCTCCAAAACTGCTTCCGCTTCCCTCAAAAGCACTTTTTTCCTTCCAAAAGCTTGGCCAAACACCTCAATTTTTGGCCAAAAGTGTTTTTGGCAAAAAAAAAAAAGCACTTTTGGCCAAAAAAAAGCTTGGCCAAACAGGCTATAACGCTGCTCAATTTCGATGTTTTGATTAAATCTTGAAAGGAACGAAAGAGAGTGAGACAGGAAATCAACACAAGTGTTACCTCCTCCATCTCAGATAATAAGCTAAGAGATTATAGATTCTACTGACACAATATGACAACAAATAATCAGCTAAAAAACAACATATTCTACACACATTAATAGTGACAAGTACAAGAAACACAATGATAGAACAGTTATTCTACTAGAACAGTTTTACCTTCTGCTTGGCAGTAGTATTTGGCCCCAGCAGAAATGCAAGCTAATATGGTTTTATCAATTTCCATGTTTGTTAAATAGAGGAAAGAATATTTTTTGGTCGTCACAGAAAAGGAAAAAGATTTTACCTGTCAAGCATCAGCATAGGAAAGAAAGTGTTCCGGACAACAGGAAAATTCGCAATGCAACCAAGGGGAGGAGTAAGAAAGCACCTAAAAGAAAATGTCCAAGTTCATTTTAGTATAAATATTTTAAGCATACAAGTTTGCTGATTTCATATAGGAGAACAGGGCAGCAGCTGACAGAAAGAAATCCTCATTACTTCTATTCAATGAGTTAAAATTTTCTGTGGAGCTATAATATAGTTTTGTAACTAAGTTCCTCATTTAATATAAGAGATATATATTTATGTTTGATAAGACAACAAAAAGGAAGAGCAAGCAAAGGGGATCATGGAGAACAGATAACTCCCTTCCTTTGCTCTACTGGATGTGTGAATGGCCGCTCTTTACATTTGGCTTCAAAACTCACTGCAGTTTCTAACCTAAAACTTTCCCTCCGACAAAACAGTCACCCTTTTTCTGTTCTGGTTCCTGCACTGCTTCAACTGGTTTACGAGCTGCTGAAATCAGCAGTTAGTGTTGTTCTTCATCAGCCACTGCTTTCTCTGCACCACTATCATCTATCTTTCCGTTGCACTCTTGTGTTTGTACTTCACTATCCATGTTATCTTTCAGAGAAGCACCTGCATTGTCCTTTTCTGAGGAAGCTGGATTTTCAGCAGGATTGTTGCCAGTGGCTGAAGCTCCAGAGCCTGGAGGAAGGAAAACGCCAGTGCCAGGGAGTGGAAGTCGTGGTGCGGGATGCCTAGGAGGGGGTGCTGGCCATCCACCTGAGGCAGGTGGAAGAGCAACTGGTGCAGGAAAAGCCATAGGTGGTGCAACCGCAGCGGGAACAAAAATTGGCTGGATACCATTTGGAGGAGCTAACTGTGAACGAACAGCTGGAACAGGTAATACGCCGGTTGTTGGCATGGAACCATAATGCTTGGGCCCAAAAGGATGACGGATATGATTTGGTGACCTGCTAAGAGGGGGGACCCACTGGGGGGCAGGACCTCCTGCTGATGAAGAGAAACGCTGACTATCACCAGACTTGAATCTTCTTGGCTGCACCTTTGTAAAGGTCACAAGTATACGCTGCTTACGGATGGATGGAATAGCATGTCTAGCAAAATCGGATGATCTTCCCTGCATTGCAAGTACGGATCTGTGCATTTTCACAGCAGAAAGATTCAGTAGGTGATTAACCAAGAAAAACAATTAAACAGACAAAAGTAGCAAAGTGGAAAAAGAAGCAATGGAACATAAAGTGCCGTGCATATATAAGCGTGTGAGTGTGTCTGCGTTATTTGCGCATTCGCAGTCCAAATAAGTGGGATAATCTTGATTTTGGTCTCATATAAACACATATATCCTTCTAGTAATTGTGTCAACTAATTGGATGAGATTTGCTGTGGCTTCTACAACCTTTAACCCTTTCCATTTGCTGCCAAGTCCATTAAGACTCTTTTCTCATCCTAACTTGTCACCATTACAGCATTGCAAGTTACTGCAACCTCAAGTTATTTTAGGAAGGGGGATGAGGATTTGTAGTATTCAGTACAAAGTAATTGGCGTAACCGCGTAAGGGATGTTTGTGGAGGTTTGAGGAATGGATGGAAGGAACAAAAGACATGAAAAGTCCATAATATTGTTAAAACTTCTTTCCAATACCTATAGCAAAAGGACTAAATCTACTCATTGAATGCAATTTGAAGGTTTAATGCGCTAGGCTGGATAATGTAGCAACTTAACTTCGAATCAAGTTATATCAACGAAAAGTGCAATTTCCCCTATACAAGCACAAGACAAACTAGTAAATAAAACAAAAGATATAACCAACCAAACAACAAAGCCCGAGGAAAGGATTACCCTGGTGCAAAAGAAAGTTTGAGAGAGCCTCGATAATCGCCAGGATGGTCCACACCAATCATCTTACCGAAAGTCATTTCACATTCTGTCAAGAACAACATAGCTACAGGCCGCCCGTACCAATAAGGCCACATATGAGGTTGTGAGTGGTCTCCCTACAATTACAAACAATGTATCAAGTCTGCTAAGCTTCCTAAACAAAATCGCCATGACCATAAGAACTAAAACTACTGCTTGTAACCTCATTGAAGATGTCAATAGTGCAAGCATCTGGCTTTGCAGTTAAAACTTGCATAGCACTCAATCGTTCAATAGCATCTTGGAACAAGCCAGGAATTACTTCCATTTTCCGCTCTGCAAAATTTTGATTAACCCGATAAATACACAAGAAAGCAAAGATATATAAGTTTACCCTACTTCATAAATGTTAAACATGCCTTTAAATGTTGCAAAGGCAGCTTCATCTTCAGGGGGTGCATCTGCAACGGGTAAGCCCAACTGGATCATCTCCCTTCCGTGCCCCTTCATCGGTCTCTTTGAGATTATAAATGTCTGCGCTGCTTGTCACAACATTTCTAATCATTGACATCTATATTAAGGCGTCAGATACAAAGAATAGCACTTCACTCACAAGAATCTAATATCCAGATGTGCTTGAATGGTAAACCTGCATAAAGTGCACATTGAAGCTGCATCTGTATGACAATTGTTTTTTGACTTAAGCGTTTATAGTAGTCCTAATGAGTAAAAGCGTTAGCCCCAAGAAAGTATTTCACACAAGTTTGGAGCAAACCAAACCAGTTCTATGTTTAAGGATATAACTGCATTCCTCTATTCTATTACTACATATAACGTGCTACATGCCCAGAGAAAATGTAAACCATTTTCAATTTTTACTACTAGTAACAATCACCAGAGAACCATGCCCCAGAACAACCTCAGCTACTATCACATGCTACTGACCTTTAGGTTCAACCAAAGACACCAAAAATGTAAATTGAGGATTAGCATCCTAATCTTTTTATCAGTAGAAATACTTTAGTAATATAGAAGACTTCCTAAAAAAGTTATTTTATTACATTTTCTTTCAGATAAGAACGGACTAATCAAAGATGAAGATTAAGCAGATGAAAAAAAGAAGGAATAATACAATGCAAAAACTGCATGATATAAAATATATGAGACAAAGTAAAAGGACGAAGAAATGAATTCATGACAAATTTATGTAAAAGACCTAGCAATACCCGAGGGCAGAGGGCCAGCTAGCCTACAGTTCGGAACTTGGTGGATAATGGGTTGTCCCTCTACCCTTCTCCTCACTTAAATACCAGGCACTTTGTCTATGGTAGAGTTCAAACATGTGAAGTGCACCTAATCCACACATCACATGTTTATTTACTTTGTTCAATAAAGAAAAATGTGAATTGGATATGCCCACTAAAGTTGAAATCTATTTTATTTTATTTTTTTGGTAACTTAATTTCGAAGTTCATCCTCAGGCGACTCAACATTACACTATTTCCCCCAGTAATAGCAGAAAAACTCAATCCTGCATGGTCTAGCCCTTACAATTCGGGATTTGCATTCAAAAGGCAGATTCAGAGTAAAAAACTCTAGCTTATGACTTAACTCTTGTAAAGGCATCGTTTGTAGTCTTCAATGATCTTGCTTCACATTCCAAGATAAATTCACCCTTAAAAAGAGTCACCCATAACTTATCTCAATTAGAGACATTATTATTAGTCTCCAATACCATGCTGACTATTGAAGTCTCACAACCTAACCAACAAACACACCCACTAAGGCAATCCATCCACAGTATACTTCGTAGACGTCTTATTTCCCCCAACAAACCTTTGATCATGCTCAGAAATAGTTTCAAAAGCATGTCAGGCACTTGGGTAATACATGCACACAACACATCTAATAAACTTGCATACAGTCTAAAAGAAAATATCTTTTTGATGGAGTCATGGAGATATGAGATGCAAAGAGGATATATTTTACTGAGAAGCAATAGATGAGGAAATTCTGGCAAAAGGTGCCAAGTTACTTTCAATTATCCAGCATCCATGTCAACATCGCGTTGTATGTTTAAGAAGACACTTCAGGTGTCTGTATGTGGGTCCATCACACATATTCCTTCAGAACATTAATGTGCTTAAACCCAATTCAATCCCCCCTCCTCCCCCTCCCAAACACCAAAACAAGACGAAGGGTAAAAAGAAGCTAGTACTTTCCTATTGTCACGTCACCACCCCAAACACAGATTAAACTACTTACCAGAAAGCTGTCCTCTTCTCCCAGAAGCTCTCAAATCATTTACCAAAGTAACAAGTTTTGAAACTTCTGAACTGCTTAGCAGTTCCTCGTACAGTTTCATGCCATCAACAACATTAACCTACAGAAGACACCGCTGCATCTTAGTGTAAGAACAAAGAGATTTTAGTCTTGTACTTAAGTTTTTTATTTATATGTAGGATTTTAAATTGCACCAAGAAGGTGCTAATATGTACAGTAAAACGACTTCTGGTTCCCTTTTATGCAGGGAGTCCAACAGGACAACAAAAGTATTACATGATACGCATTATTCAAATTACATCAAGAATACAAAAACTGTAATGTCCTAATCTTCACAAAATGTGTTGATGTATATTTGTTCTCAACTTCAAAAAGGAGCTGTAAATTTTATCATTACCGGTTTCCCATCGCATATCTCTGTAGCAACAAAAGTTTTTGGTACAACTGTAACATTCTGCTTCTCGTTTGGTAATTGGCTGGATTGGGATTCATTCTCCACATTACAAGACCCTTAAAAGGTAAACATGCAAATGAGTACTGATTGAGGATTGTAATTAGCTAAGATAAACAAGTAAAACGTAAACAAGACCATATTATTCCACACCCATCACAATCAATGTCCACAAACATAAACAACACAAGTAGGAAACATAATTCCCTTAATAGAAGTAGTTGATATGGCTGATCATTGCAGTCTTTCTTTCTCCTTTTTTTTTGTTTGGGTATTGTGATATGGCTTATTAGTGAATTATAAAGCACGATGCACTCCTTAAAAATGCAGCTCCAACAAACAATCGAAATCTAAGAAGATCTAAATCAGAAAAATAAACTTTGTACCATCAGACTTTGAATCACGTTTATGATCAGTTTTGTCTGTTTCACTTTGTGAGTGAGCAGCTTCTATGCAAACTGAACTCTTCGTTGAGCTATTTCCTTCTGGATTTCCAACCAATTCTGTTTCATCATAAATGAAAAAGAGGAAAAATCGTTTTCTTAGCTTACAACGCATAAGAGAAACTACAATAAACATTTATGCGTTTGCAATTAAAACGATGAACAAATTTTAGTTCATATGGATGTACTTTACTCTGGTTCACCCATTGGTTTGCGCGATGTGATAATAAGTTATACAATGTACAAAAACAAAAAGATAAGTAAGGCTTGCATCAAGTTAAAGGGATAAATTCCTTTCAAGTTCAGAATAATAAACATTACATGATCAAATGATTTCCTCAAAAAAATCTGATTAAGCTTGATCATGAGGTACCAATGGCCATCTGACACATGTAGCTTTGGAAACAATTAAAAGATAGAATATGAATCTAGGATATGTCAAAATTATTTGCTAATTTTGAAGTGCATTCAATCATACGAAGCTAACTAAAGGCATTCATTATCCTTGCTTCAATCAAGATCCTGTCATCCTAATTGTCTTGACAGAATAATCTGCAAGACCCGAATTATGTCGATACCACAAAATACAAACTGCAACACTCTTCCCAGTGTCCAATTGCCTTATGGATGATAAAACTATAAAGTATCTCAGCAAAAGAAGCAACCAACCCCCCCCCCCCAAGGCTATGCACAGAGAAGAGGGGTCACCAGACCCTGCTAAACTCAGCAAAAATTCTAGATATATATGTTGAACACGTTTATATATTTTGCCGATGGAGCATAGTTGAGCAGTCAGCGCTCAAGTGCCCCCACCACCTTCAAATCCTGGGTCCCCCCCCCCCCCCTGCCTCACACTGACAATTAAATATCCTAGCATTAGAACTTCTTCGATTCACGCTCAATAGCTTCAACACATAACTGCAAGCACTGAACTGTTGTAATTTAACCTTGAGATGTCCGCAATACCCTTGAAACCATCAGTTAAACTTGTTAACTAGCATTGCAAATTAGCAATAAATGCATATTCTGCTCCGAAATATTTTGAAACACCTAGTAAAAACTAAAAGAATAAGGAGCGGTCCCAGCTTGAAAAGGGTGGACCAGATATTTTTCAAACCAGGACACAAATGAAATGACAAAAGCTCACCTCGTCATGGGCAGTTATCGTGTGGTCAGTCTCACAAAATATTCGAATTCACAGATGATTTCACTTATTCTAAAGTGGAAACTATGGTTTTTAACAAGCAGCACTCAATCTGCCTTTCCATTATTTAATATAATCCCTTACTAAATAGGTAATAGCAAATTAGATAACACTCTTATTGAGGGAACTAACAACTATCATTATCATTAAATGGTGATAAATCCAAATATCCACAACCCACGACTGCCAATTTGCTAAATTATTAATAATCACCTTATCGTGTCTCTTAACCAGTAAATAGAAAAGTAAGCAAAGATTCTGAAATTTAATACTTTCCTAATAGGTCATCAATTTCAATTTAGTAATCACTAAAGACCCTATAGAATCACATATTCCTTCAATCAATAAATTCCAACGAACACTCCTTTAATCAGAACACAAATATAAAAGGGTTTAAGCTCTACGCATTGGCGCTGTAAAATTTTTTTACAGTCAGGTCATTTAAAAGGTAATAGCAACTTATTTACTAAGCATTCATTGGTAACCTACAATATATGGCAAGTTTACCTACTATAAAAGATTAAATAACACTGGTGTTATAGCAGATTACTCATCATTTATTTTAGATTACTAATTATTGAATAACAAATAGAATTTCCTTTTAAGTAACCTGATTGTGTAAATCTTTTCTACACTTCCAGTGCATAGTACTTAAACTAAAGACTTTCCAAATATATGATCTATTTCAACTTAGTAATCACTAAAGACCCTATAGAATCTTATGTCCTTCAATCAATAATCTTCAAGTAATAGTCCTTTAAACACAAAATACATACACCATCATGTAATACATAAAAATGGAAAATCTGGCAAGTATTGCATAATCTCACCTTTCTTCTCCCCTGGCTTCACATCTATTTCTTTTTCTATATCATCAATCTTTTCGACCCCGTTTGATTTACTATAAAACTCTTTACTATTAGCATCCATAGAAATATTATGACCCTCACTTCTCCAACCCCCTCCTCCTCCTCCTCTAGACCCCCCACCATTCCTCTTATTATTAAAACCCCCTTTTTGTTGCTTCCTCCACTCAACCTGATGCAATGCATAGATCACTTCAGCTACTGAAAAGTACTGCTGCATATGCAACACAGTGCTCCAATTCCCTCTCCTTTGTTGTACACATCCAATTACACCATCATATTCACCTGGCTGCTCACCTACTAACCTTAAATGATGACACAAAGCATCAATTATAGCATTTGCTGCTGCAAATTCACCTCTTAACCATGATATAAACCCATCCCGCTCATCACCCATAAACCACTGCTGCTGATGTGGCGGTGGTGCCACCGCCTCTCCTCCACCACCGCCGTGCATTTTCTCCGGAACTAACGTGGCATTTCCCGATTGCATTGTTAACGTGTCTAGTACTATCTACTACTATAACTATATATTATTATTAATCTTTTTTAATAGATCTGAAAAAAAAAGGGGGTTGTTGTAAATAGCAAAATAAAAATGGGAATGTTGAATTCTTGAATTTTTTTGGTTACACCCAGAAAATAAGGCAATGTGTGAGATGGAGCTGAGGGTGTAGATCTGAAGAAGGTCACTGTGTGACTGTGTGAAGATCTACAAAGGGTTTGAAGAAGAATTTGGCTTAATGAGCACGCGTATGTTTTTCTTTTTTCTAGTCCTAAAAATGGTGGTTCTTTGTGGGTTTCTGTTTTTGACTAACTCTCAGACTCTATTTAGGAATTCAGGTTCCTTTTTGTTTGTTTGTTTTGCTTTTTCACCTTTCTCTTTTATTTTTATATTTTTTACTGTGTGTTTCAATGGTCCAAGATGTCTACTAGTACTGGTCTACTCTACAATGTGATTGGAGGTGGGCTGAGGATTTTTGAGGCAGGAAGAATCTAGAAGAATATTCTGAAAACTATTTAATGGTTTTTTTTTTTCCTTAAATTTTATTCATCTTGATTTTTTTTTTTTTTGGGTTCCCACCCGGTGTCCACGTACCCGTATTGAAGACCGACTATATCCGTATTCATGTCGCGTAGGGCCCCATTCGGGGGGAAGCGCTCCCTATTAAGGATTTTTCCATACCCGGGGTTCAAAACCGAAACCTCTGGTTAAAGGAAGAGCAGTCACATACACTGCATCACATTCTTTGGTGGTCATCTTGATTTTTTTTGCATAAATACAAAATGGTTTGTATACAAATTTTATTTGGTTTTTACTTTCGAGCTTGATTAGTTCCAATTCTTTAGAAAGTCGACTTTAAAAACTCTCCCTACCAACTATTTCCTAGAGCTTGAAAGCAAACTTATTGAGCTTGATCAGTTTGAATTCCTTAGAAAGTCCACTTTAAAAGTAAAATGCTCCCTGCCAACTCTATTTCCTAGAGCTTGAAAGCAAATTTTCTTTGTTAGATGATGAAAGAGATTTCACCACAGCCTTTGGTGGTTATTTACATTTTTAGAATTTAAACCTTTGTGATAAATATAATAGCTTAATTATTATTATGCAAGATAATAAAGGCAGTCCGGTGCAGAAGGTATTTCGCGTTCACGCAGGATTTGAATAAGAGTTGTACCATATGGGTTATAATGTAGACAGTCTACCCTAACACAAGCATTAGTAGCTGCTTCCACGGCTTGAATCTATGACTTATAGATCGCACGGAGACAACTTTACTGGTGCTCCAAAGCTCCCTTTGTTGTTATGCAAGATATGTTTAATATTTTTAATTAATCATAGACTTGTATTTTAATAAAGAATAACTGTGATTTTAAAGAATTTTATCTGAAACTCCGAGTTATTTATTTTGGTAGAAATGAAGTAACCCTAAATAAAGTATATAATGGTATATATAATTGGTTCATAAAGATGATATCAACTAATTTCAGGTTAAGGTGCCTAATTAATAAGTTGTCATATTCAATAAGTAATTATTTCTCTATGACATTATCCCCGCCTAACTTTGCCATTTAGATGAAGTACAATTATATCAAGTGATGTCAAATTTAGAGGTGTCTTGTTTGAAATTGTGTGTGGAAAGATTTTCATTACTTATATCTTTCAAACTTAAAAAGGTAATATAGTTAGTACTCGACAACATTAGAGCGAATGTGTAAGGTATTCGTTGACTTTTGGTTGTTTAATTTTGACATTATCTCCAACAACAAATTCATTTATAGTAGTGTTTAACTTCAAAAACGTAACTAGCATGTTATTTACTTTTATTATAAAAAATATAGAAATATTTGCTTGCATAATTTACATGTCATTAATATAATACTTGTTTGAATTATTTTCATGGTTATATAATGGAACCAGTAAATGGGCAAGTAGATAGTAAGATTTTTTTTCCTTTTTTTTTTTTCATCCGGTGTTCGATATTGTCCCGTACTCGTCGGGTCTTGATTAATCCCGATTCATATAACATAAAAGGTCATTAAAGGAGAAAGTGCTTTCTAACAAAAAAAATTTATTTTATTTTTAGTACTTGAAGGCGGGATCTCTAATTAATAAGTAGCATGTTTGGCCAAGCTTATGTTTTGGCCAAAGTACTTTTTTTTAGTCAAAAGTATTTTTTTTGCCAAAATTAAGGTGTTTGGCCAAGCTTTTTAAAGGAAAAAAGTATTTTTGAGTAGAGGAGAAGCAGTTTTGGAGAAGTAGAAATAAATAGTAGCTTCTATCCAAAAAAGTATTTTTGAGAAAAATACACTTGGAAGCACCTTTTAAAAGCTTGACCAAACACTAATTGTTGCTCAAAAGTGTTTTACAAATTAATTAGCCAAACACAAACTACTTCTCACAAAAAGTATTTTTTTTTAAAAACGTTTTTTTAAAAATCGCATTTTAAAACAAACAGATTTTAGAAGTTTGACTATAAAAATAAAGAAATTCTATTCATTCTATCCCACTGTTTAGTGGTGAAGATAGTAAAAATCTCCTATTAGTTTTAGTGATGAACATGAAAAAATTAGTGTCGCAGTAACAATAAAGTGTGTTACAGAAATACAAAAGAAAGCACAATTTGACTTTTCAAATATTAATAACTATTTAGCATAATAATAAAAGATAAGTACTTAAATACATGTAGCCGCGTTTACACCTAAAAGTGAAGATCATTAATATACCCAGTAGACTTATGGCTCATTTGGTGCCAACCCTAGGACTTCAGGCTTGCCCGCTTCGGGACAACAGCCATGGACGAATATATATAGCTAAGGGGGAGGAGCTAGAGGAGTCCGAAACCAAAGTAATGGTTTTTGAGACTCAAAATACGCTTTTACAGTTTACATTTCTAACTAATACGCAGTATTATACTGCGTTTTAGTTTAACGGAAATTTAACCGTTAAGGTAAAACGCAGTATAGTACTGCGTTTTAGGAAAATGCAGTATTACACTGCGTTTTCCTTCTTTGTTGGGCCCATCAATAAGTGTTCTGCACTGACATAACATTCAAATGCCTAAAACGCAGTATAATACTGCGTTTTAGCAAAACGCATTATTATACTGTTTTGCTTCTTTGTTGGGCCCACCAATAAGTGTTTTGCGGTTAACTGACATAACAATAATTCAAATGCATAAAGCGCAGTATTATACTGCGTTTTACATAAAAAAAATCTGCACCCGGGGCTAGGACTTGCCTTATTTAAAATCGTTAGGATTTTATGAAAATTCATTCAAAACTTTCCTTCAAACATCCGTTCATAGTTTTCTTCTTGTTATCAAGGTTTTTTTATAATGTCTGAAGAGCCAAAAATAAGGGTTTTTATTATATTATGGGGGTGAGGTTGTAATGGAGAATAACTCTGTGAGGTATAGTTCACATCCACAGTGTAATGTTAAATTGCCGCTTAAAATGGAGTACGACAAATTGGTATCGTTGTTATGTAAGAAAATGAGTGTGAGGAAACGTTCGTTGAACCTTAAAGTAACCAGTAGATTTCCGTATTCGGTGACTCCGCAGGGGTTTGCTTATTATTCTGAGTTTAACATCGAAGATGATGAAACTCTTAGAGATTTTTTTGCGGATTCTGGATGAATACAGGGAATTTATTGTAATAAAATTATTGGAAATGTACGTCAAGGTTGAAGACGCTCCCAATAATGACGTTGTGCATAGTAGGGATAACCCTCAGTCATCGGGTGGTTATTCTAGAGCAGTTTTTGCCGGACAGATTCCTGATGAAAGATCTTGCCTTGATTTAAACTTATCACCACCGGCGAATCAGCAGCGAGGAAATAATTTTTCGCCTTTATATAATCCTCAAGACGACTGGTAAACTTCAATTTTTCTACGCTTTAGCGATGTTTATTTTATGTTTGAATTGGATTCGTATTAACACTCATATTTTTCATAGGGGTACCGTCCGGATATGAATTTTACAAGTTATGACCCTGCTCCTAGTTGGAATATGCGTAGTTCTGGCATGTTGGTCCACGGTGGTCCATCCGGGAGTCATCACCAACAAGAAAATGTCCATCATGGAACGTCAACACAGTACGACTTGTAAGTGAAGTGATATAGCTATATGTCAAGTATTTATCAAGCTGAGTAGCTTATCATTTTGTTCTTTTTGTGCAGTGAAAACGGGCAACTTGATGTTCCTGACCTCACACAGTTGCCCATAGACGACGTATTCACTCGTGATTTGGCAGATGCGCAGAGTCAGGAAGATGATAGTGATTATGACAACAATGCCGATGATTCTGGAGATGACACACCCTTCCCTGATGAGGGTGATGATGAGGAGGAAGTGAATGTCGAACCTGAGCCGACGAGGGAGCATGCTCCTCCACCTCCCGTTAGACCAAGAGCGTACGAGTCCCACGTGCCGTTTCATGAGCGGAATATTGCCTACCTTGATAATTTGCCAAGTATGCCGGATGTAGATGTCCTCACAAGGGATGCTGACGAATTTCGGTCAGCAATGTGGGATGAGTCTAGACCAGCCATGCTGGCAAAGGGCATGTATTTTCCCGATAAAGCTCACCTAATCAGAGCTGTAAAAATCTACAGCGTAAGAGAGTGCCGTGAGATGACGGTAAGGGAATCAACTACGGAGGTATACAAGGCTGTATGCCGTAGAGACTTTATAGGTTGTCACTGGATGTTGCGTGCCAGCAAGAAAAAATCAGGGTTGTGGAAAGTGGGTAAATATGCTAGCACCCATAGATGTGAAATGGACACATTCAATGAGAATCACTTCAACTTGGATGAAGACTTGATTTCTCTTGTCTTGATTCCATACATGGAAGTGTCCATTAGGTTCAAGAGTAAAGAGTGTATTACAGCCGTCCACCAGGAGTATAGTTGTACTATAACAAAAAAAAAGGCATATCTCGGGCGCGAACGTGCTTTTGAAATTATTTATGGTGATTGGAATAAGTCATTTTCATCTTTACCGAGGTACATGGCCGCACTGCAACACTTTAACCCCGGGACTGTTGTTGAATGGAAGCGTGAGCGGAGTCCGAACAGACCCGAATGTATTTTCAACTATGTATTCTGGTCATTTAAACCAGCAATTGATGGTTTTGTGCATTGCCGTCCGGTAATTCCATAGACGGTACTCATGTCTATGGAAAGTATGATATTAAGCTTTTGATCGCAGTTGCAGTAGATGCCAACAGACAAATATTTCCACTAGCTTTGCCATTTGTGCCAATGAAAGCGAAGAGACGTGGACGCTTTTTTTGAACCACTTGAAGTAGCACGTTGTCAAACAACGTTCATGTATTTATCTAATATCCGATTGACAT